TACCGCTGTGCCTACGTGGGGGGGTAAGCCTTTTAGTATTGAATTATAGCGATGTAGCACTTGATTTATTAAAACATTGGACTAAACCAATTAAATCAAGCAATTTAATTAAATTATCATTTTTTTACTAATTTTCTTCAACGTTACCAGCTAAAGCTTTTCAGGTGTACTAAACTCTAAACAAATTCGAAAAAATATGACTTTATTAAATTGTCAGATTTAACCTGAATGTTCTAACAAGAGTGTGTTTATTTGTTTTTAAGAGTCAAGCTTTTATATAATTGGTTATCTGTGCTGTGCTTATCGCGGGTATCAAATCCCCGAAAGTTAGCGTCATTAGGCTTCAAGTTTACCGTTGAACTACTAGGGTGCAAGAAGAATGTGAATGATGGAATCCGACTTACAGTCAAAACTAGTAAGTTGTAAAACTCTACTAATCAGTAAACCATCTATTTAAGATTAGTATATGACGACAACAGACTTCTGTGCAAATTACTGACATGAGGTAAAGTTACTAATGAACCTACCAATGTGCAGTTTAACCCTTTAACTACCAATTTGTTTTCAACCCGTGGGGTCCACATATTCTATCATATCGAGTAACTTTATATTTTTGTCTGTTATAACACTCACTGTAAAGAACAAACCAGTGGTGAAATGAATCGAACAATTTGAAAGTTTGAACGAGAAAATTGATTAGATTCCATTTAACATAAACCTGTCTCGTTCAACACCAAGAAACCTTGTAACAGAAATATTGCTTGTATTCAGTTTTATGTTAAATGGAATCTAATCAATTAATACAAGCAATATTTCTGTTACAAGGTTTCTTGGTGTTGAACGAGACAGTTTTATATTAAATGGGATTTAATCAATTAATACAAGTAATATTTCTGTTATAAGGTTTCTTGGTGTTTCAGATATATATGGTCAGTGCACATTATATAAACACAGTTCTCATGTCCGACTTTGGTATCAGGGTATGCACTTAGTTTTTCCTACCAAAACCCTCTCTTTTGTTTTACCTAGATGTATATTATTACACATTTCTATAAGACTATTCGTAAATACGTTATAAAATTGGAATAAATGTATCTCCATTGCCGTGGTAGATTTTCACTGTTCCAGGGCATATGTGATATGGTTCAAAAATCGTGGCATTTACAGTCTTCAACCAAGCCGTGTCCAGTTGTCTGTTCCATGTACAATCTAATGTATAATAAAGTTCAGGATACTCCATTCCGATCAATGTGAAAAAGTCCTGGTGACCCAAATAGCCTTTAAACTTGTATTTGAAACACAAAGCCTCGATCAAATCTTCCTTCAGTAATGAATTGTATAAAGATGATTTGCGCATGCGCTCCAAGTGAAAAAGAACTACTCCTGTGTTAAATCCCTGTTTTCCTGGCCTAGCCGACCCTACGTCTGTTCCTGGATGGATACGACGATATTCTTCAAAGTCTACACGATATTGAGGTTGTAAATCGTTAGCTATTGCCATTATCTGGGATTTGTGAAATTTTTCAAAATGTAAATACAAGTCTAAAATATCTGCTTCAAATCTTAGATCCAGATCAATAAAAATAAGTTTTTTGAAATGAAATACTCGGTGGAATATTTCAGAGATAAAAAAGATATTGTCGTTGTACCGTGTAACGTTTTTGGTGAAGAAATACTTCCTCATCACTTTTATTATATCCTGATGATTCTTCGAGATGACATCAACGTCAAGATAAGACACCTACAAAATAACAAATATAAAATAAAATAAATGGTTTTACTTCGTAAATATTCGACTCACAATATGATGAATAACAATACAAAATATTCGTATATTTTAAAAGGACATTTTAGGCATGTTTTATAATATAAAAAATTTCACAGCTTTTGAATTTTTTGAATAATAATTGATAGATATAACCATATGTACTATTAAAACGTTGCTTAAAAAGTTCGACCAAATAGCACTTTCTCAATTTTACTAATTATGAGATGTTACATAAAATTTAATTGTAAGCACATGCACCCAATTTCACTAAAATATTCACTTTGCGTTTATGGAACACCCAATTTCACTAAAATATCGATATCACAAGAACATAATGTTTAATTGTAAGCACACGCAGTGTAGCGGCTGTCACCTTGCGTTTATGGTAAATCCAATTTCACTAAAATATTCACCTTGCGTTTAAGGAACACCCATTTGCACTAAAATATTCACCTTGGGTTTACGGAACACCCATTTTCACTAAAATATTCACCTTGCGTTTATGGAACACCCATTTTCACTAAAATATTCACCTTGCGTTTACGGAACACCCATTTTCACTAAAATATTCACCTTGCGTTTATGGAACACCCAATTTCACTAAAATATTCACTTTGCGTTTATGGAACACCCATTTTCACTAAAATATTCACTTTGCGTTTATGGAACACCCAATTTCACTAAAATATCGATATTACAAGAACATAATGTTTTAGAAGCTTCAGGTTGGTTGCAAGGAAAGCATCTACATTAATACTGTTTATCTATTTTACCTCGTTTCACAACACTTCCACAGAGCTTAAAGCCACAGAACTGGCTGGACCAAAAGACACACGAGATGGCGATGAAAGGATTTTTTTTTCATTAGTTACTCGACCAACTATGTATGCATCAAAGCATAACCGTTACTATATTATTTTTCACAATTAGTTTTATCTGTGATGTTGACGCTACATGCACAATTTCCATTCCTTTCTTTTACTCTCCAGCTAACAAGACTAGAAAGCTTTCGTGAAAAAAGTGCTAGAGGTTTTCCACAAGGTATCATTTTCACTTCTCGTTTAATTTGACATTTTTTTCAAATCTTCTTCAGTAATGAAGATTTTTTAAAATTACTTTCTTTGGAATATGAAGCTCGCAGTTACAGTAAAATATGAGTCAAAAATTAAGGATTAATAATTATTCAAATGAAAAAAGTTACAAGTGATAGTAGAAAGAAATATGTAAACTGAGACTACAAATAGGCCAAAGTTACAGAAAATTAACTATTGGAATTGATAAAAAATGTTAAAGATGTTAACAGTTAGTGGAATATTTGAAGGTATTTCTTCATATTTTGGCTAAGCTTAAGTAAAAATTGTGTATAATTTATCTTATGTCAAAGCTAAGATTGCATTATATTCAATAACACAATAATAAACACTTAGTTTATCCTGTTTAAAGCACCTTCATTATATACAAATTAAGCCGAAAGTAATAGGATTTTAGAACAAAAATAACATAATTATTTCCTGACACGATTCCTATCCAGATAATGCACTGAAAAGATAAACGTGAAAGAGAATGAAATAGATCAGATCAAACCGTTAAATAAATAAATTATATTTTTTCCAGCAGTGCAGAACACTTAAGTTCCTCCTGGGCTTACAATTTAATTTTTCAGATACCTTAGAGAAGGTGGTTCTATACGACTTCCAGAGATTTTAGTTTAACATATTTCACACAAAAAAATATTATTCTTTTATGATTCAACATTTTGATTAAGTGAGAATTGCTTATTTACAAGTAACTAAATAACTACAAGTAACTAGCCAGCTTCTAGATAATAGCTTGACAACCACGTCATTGACTTAAAATCAGGTATAAATTTTTGAAAACTTGCGTCATTCCATTTACTTGCTCTCTTATATTCATTCCACGTTACATTTTATTTCAAATCCATTTGCTTCCTAGTTGAATCAAGAATGTTTTTATTGCTACGATTATGTAATTTTCCAGTCACCACAGAGGGTTGAATAAGTTATATTAAAACGATTTTGATATGTACGTCAGCAATTCATGTGACATAAACATTTAATATAAAGACGCAGTAGAACGAAATGTATCAGAACAACATTTGGACATGGTATGGTTAATCGCAAGTAGCGTGATGCCACCGAAAACTGATCACTTTTGGAAAACACATGTAAGAACCTTCATTGACGCAAAATATGAAACACTCAGATCAAAAAGGTGTATTCAGATTGAAAATGTAAAATTTTCATGACAAGATATTATTTGCACTTAATGGTATTTATAGGAATCATCTTGGAGAACAAATACCGTACAGAAACAGGCCTACAGTGAGATGTACCCCAGCTGTGGTAAGCAGAGTGCAGCGTCTTATAACAAGGGAAATTTAATGAACATAAAGTCACTGGAAAAAGCCGTCCACGTACTCCAGGCATTGGTATTCAACATAGTTAAGAATTATCTCTATTTGGAAACGAAGCCAACATGGTATGGGTTTACTAAGATATGCTTCCAGTCATATTTTCTGTTCAACCATTAAATACCTCAGGCAGCTGGAGAATGAAACATGTAGTCATGTTGTTACTCACGGAGACAAACCGATCAACTCATTGTACATAGTGCCTATGTATTATGTACGATCAGACTGTTGAAGTGGACGCTAGAAAACCGTCATCTTCACTAGATAAATTATGGGAAGCTCGCAGGAAGGAGAGGCGTGCTTTGGACATGAAAGCTTTAGTTGCCCCTTTCCCCAAGCCTTTCACAATGGAAAATTTGATCTGTTATCAAAATGAATGGTCGTCAGATGGCGCACGAGTAGCGTTGCGACATGGTGAAGCTCCAAAATAGTTTTAATATAATATACTCTACCTCTGTATATGATGGAAAATATTAAAATGAGATATTGCATCTTAAAAGTCTTTTACACAATATGATGCTTCTAAATTTTCTCTGTATTAGAAATACATAATTCAGCAGGTACAGAAATTTGCACTATATCAGGTGAGAAGAGAAAAAGGATTATATAATATATTCATATTTTTGCTTTGTTAAAAACAACAGTAATTTTTATTTGTAATTAAGCACAAAGCTACACAATGGGTTATCTGTGTTGTGTCCACCACGGGTATATGAGCAATATTTTTAACGTTATAAGCCTTCTGACTTACCGCTGTGCCACTGGGGGGCTAAAAACTATAGAAAAAACAATAAATCAGCGTCCGTAAGGAGCCTAGATAGCTCAAATTCACCTTAAAGATATTATTTTGTTGTCCTATGGATGATGCTACTTTTTTATATATTCTGGTAGTTGAAGATGTACTTTTGTGGTGCTTAGCGGTGATGATGATGTTTGCTGATACATGCACGAGAAGGATGTACTTATGTGGCGAGTCGGGAGTGGTCTCGCAATTATTTTTCCCAGGCTACAAATACGATGGTTCGCGGTTTGCCGCAGTATCGCCCTCTGCATTTTGGAGCCTTG